TCTCTCAGCTGCTGTGTGAACAAAACACTTTGCTCTTACAGTCACAAAGAACTCTTGTGACTGGAAGGGCTCTCATTGTGTTGTTGTATTCCTGGCACAATTAGCCTATCAGTTTAAAATTTTCATTTAAATTTTTGCATAATCCAAATCATCTCATGAGCTTCTCATTTCCTTATGTCAGGGATTGTGCTAAATGCTGCATATTCTTTAGGCAAAACTAGGGAATTTGCAGATGTTAAAATGCATTAAATTACTTTCCTCCAGAGTCCAAAAAAAAAGATTTCTCTTGACAGTAGAATCTGAATTATAAAACTAAAGAAGGTAACACTAAATTTGCTGCTGCACCTCATTAAAATCTTGTATTATTACTGGGCGCACCAGATCTCATCTTTCTGGATCCTGCTGTTGTTATAAAATATAAGTGTTTCAGCAGTGGATTGTGCTGCAGGAGGCTGTTCAGTCCTCTTTAGTTAAGTTTAAGCCAGAGCCATCAGACTGAGCGAGCACTGGATTTTGTACGTAACAGAGCAGCTACCTCACTTTGATTTAGATTTATTGAATGTCAACTCCTGATCCAAGCTTATGTCAGCCGTAGGCGCAGACCTCATCGACTTCAAAAATAGAAAAAATTCCCATACATGTATTAACTTTGCATTAACTTTGGCCTCTGAAACAGCTTTGACAGCAGAAAAGTCATTACCTCCAGGCTGCAGCAGCTACAGGAAGCTCACTGACTCATAATGGGCAAGTATCAATTTTTTACTTAAATGAAGCGGTCACTCTAATTAATTAATTAATATCAATTCCCTGTTTACATTCCTTTAATGAATCATATATTTATATATATATTGTGTTGACCTGCAAAGTAATTAAGAAACTATTCAAAGGTAAAAGCTGATATTGTCTCCATGTCACCTGACAGCAGCTGCTGAGAATCGACTCTATCGTTCCTCTGGGTGGTGCTGACAGTAGCTCAGGTAAACACCTCATCTCAGTGGCTTCAGGACATGTTTGAGTGCAGCACCACTCTGTGCCCATTTCACCTGGGCATAGAATAATTATGCTGATCCCTATCCATTCAATGTCTAATGTCATTCTTGTTCACCACTGTGTCATTTGTTTAGCCTTCATTAAAAAAAACTAACTGTGATATGGCTTCATAAATATTCTAAGCCCTCATGGGGGCTTCATAGAAAGAGCACGGGTGTGTGTTTCCCTGTACATCCTACAGGCTCTTGTGTAATATTCAGTGGCTGATCTATTTGTTTTCAGATCATCTCTTCATCTGTTGTATTGTAGCTACAGAGAATCATCCATCAAATCCTGCTTACACAATTTAAGACTGTTACTAATGAGCTTAACTCTGAATCAAAATAGAAATGTTTTTCTTACTGCCCCACAGCTGAATCGGGAATCTTTGATTAACAAATCTTGACAATGAAACACACACACACACACACACCAGGATGTACTGCTGCACTCTCACTATATATACACTGTATAAATCCTGTTACCGTGGCCCTCAGGAGAAGTTTGGATGAGCTGATTTTGATTAGCATAGCTTTGAGTGAACCAAGGCTTTGTCATGCATTTGCCACAATGAATCAAGTTCAACATCTGCAGCCACCGGGCTATCACCGCAGAAAGATTTACCACAAATGAAGTTGATTTGCATATCAAACTGAAGACCTCATGTGCTGCAACCCCCTCATTTGCTGTGAAAAATATGCCCGCACCTGCTACAAAGTTATCAATATGACCGTCACAGCCCTCCTCATTTATTTATAGCTTATAGGCAGAACCCCTAATGACAGATGAAAGACACGTTTTAAATCCGCTGAATTATTAGTTAGTGCTACTATTGAAAACGAGCTCTCTGGGCAGTTGTCTTGATTGTCACATTAGCATGCAGAAGGCTTTGTTTTCTGTAAAGTGTGTTTGTACTGTAGCTGTGAAGCTCTAAATTATTTAGAAATGGAAACACATTTATATGAGAAGTGCTAGTTTGTATTTTTCTAACTGAATAATTTAAAAAGAGGATAAGATCTGCCGCCCAGTTAAATTTGAGCCAATTAATCAATGTTTTAGTCTGTTTAACTTCTATTTACTATCAGCTGGGCCCAAAATGAAGAGAGCAAAGACCATTTTCCCTCTCTGGCTTGATTCTACTGTGGTATTTTCAACTGCTCAGTTAACATTATTGCCTCACTTTTATGTGTCTATTGCAGTATTATATTATTCACCTTCAGAGGTAAGTGTTTTCTGCTACTCCATAGTTTGACTTCACTACATTTCAGAGGCAAATGTTGTACTCCACTACATTTATTTGTTAGCTTTATTTACTTTTCAGAATCTGATTCATTTTTTTTAAAAATACAGTAAAATCATGTGACTTGGTGATGCCTGGTGAGAAATTCACAAGCTACCCAACAGTACTTCAAATTACAAGTGTATAAGTAATTAAAATTAGCTCCACCTTTACCAGCTAAAACATTAACTGTCATGTACACAATAATGCATCAATAACTATTATACAACAATTGATATACATTAATGTGAAATGTGCTATTTGGCACAGTTAGTACTTTGGTACTTAAAGTATACTTTGATGCTAATACTTTTGTACTTTTGCTTCAGGACCATATTGAAAGAAGGACTTTTACTTGTTGTACTTGTTGTACTTTTACTTAAGCAAACTACTTGAGTACTTAATCCACCAATCCTTACCTTATACTCTTCTGTACTGTGTGCATTGTGATGTGACGTTTACCTCAAACTGGAGCTTATACACAGGATTACTGAGGGAAGACACTGGATGCTTTTCTTGGTGATGGTGCATTATCTTTTTTATGGCAGGTTATTTCCCAGCTGTTTTAACATGATGGAAAGAAAGTAAAGAAGGAACCATTACATACAGCACCAGTGGACATCCTTGGACAATAATATAATGGCATGAGGGAGTACTGCTACATCAAAGCTGTTAACATTGGCAGTGTTAGCAGCACTGCAAGGAATTACTGAGTCTGTTTCGACATGTAAGCCTTTAAATGCAAGTAGCAGTGAAGCAATGTGCGTCAACAAGACCACAAGGCAAATGATGGGGGCGAGCCATTGTCAGCTGTAGCAGATGCAGGGAAGCAGCTGACTCATTTGAAAATCTACAGAAACAGTTAGTTATTTGCCAGTCAATCAGGAGTCTCCAAGAAGAGAAAACCCAGTCTTCAGTAACAGGAAGTGCAGTAGACCCCAGATCCAACCTTACAATAAGCTCCCAATTATCTAAGCTATGTTAGAAAAATAGCCACCAGTGCAGAACAGTGTAGTATTTACACCCTGTCAATAGTGGAAGGCAGTCACTGAAGATCTGGTAAAGTCAATATCACTTTGTAATTAGATAGACATAAAAGCTCATGATTTATTCATTGCAGGGTTTAATAAATTGCTTTGATTAATGGTTAAATTATTAAAGGTCAAGCAAGTTCATAGTTCAATATAACTTAGTGGAAAAAGTCAAGTCAATCAGTTTTTCTCTGTGCCTGGGGTTTTCTACCCATCTTCACAGCCTCGACTTGAAAATATACCAGTTTAAGGTTTCACACATCATTTGAGAAATTAATTTGAATCTGAATCCTCAGAGGTCAGTGAAGAAACAGCACAGGGATCAGCTACTCAAGATATATTTGCTTTTACTGAGCTTCATTACCTGCGGTGTCCCGGCAGATACATTGAGGCAATGTCACATCCCAATTCACACTTAACTTACATGCACGCACAGAGATAAACAGTTGCAGTGCTGGTAACAGTACACAAATTAAACACATACACTAAACTGCCTGTTTATCAGGTACACCTAGCTAAAACTAATACAGTCCAATTTCACAGTAGTAGTCACGTTTTGTTTGAAGTGTCGATTAAGTGGTATCATTATTTTTGATGAATGTAGTTTGCACTGCTAGTGAACTGTACTGCATCATACAAACTGGTGTTTGTTATTTAGCCTAATCTCTGATATAAATGAGGTGAACGAAGTAACTGAGACACTGGTAAGTGTAATGCAGGACAGCACAGCATCTAAAATGATCATACATTTAAATCACCAGTGCTCTGAAACAGTTTGAACACACACCGAACATGAAGCTGGGATTTATACCAGGACTGTTGGATTTGGCCGCATTAGGTGTAACTACTGTAGTAAACTGGCAACTGAGTGTGTATCAGGATTTCTAAGTTACCGTTTGTACACACTGTGTGCAGCCACATGTGACTGTCTCTCACTCCCTGTCCCTCTCGTTCTTTCTCTTCAAAACCCTCATCATTACGGAGTGTAAACACTCAGGGATCACAGTCAGAGTGGTGAGGGATTGTCGGTGGGAGCGGCAAGATCTGGCAGTCGCATGTGGTTCGGCTCGGGGGAAATTTATCACAGGAGACACTCTGACCTGCAGGGACACAGCCGACCTGAGAAAAACAAGCTCAGTGGTCATTATAAGGGTTTTATAGTTTGTATGCACTCAGAGGAGGAGTGGTGGTGGCATTACTGTCAGACTGGGGAGACAGAAACAGGGGCAGGCGGGACAGGGGTCACTAGGTTTCAGCACCTGTTGGCGTATTGAGGTTTGCTGTGCTGTGTTTGACTTGCTTCTTTAGAACAGGTGTGATGCAACAATTCATCTTTTTATACCACAAGGGGACAAATGTAATTCATTAAGTTCACAAACATTGTAACACACACACACACACACACACAGAGTACAGCATGTTCATCCAACACTCATGGCCCTGTTTACACACAACCGTCACATGCACACGCAAACTGTGTGCACATAGACCCAAGTCTGTTCGTGTGTAAACACACTTGACAGACTCTGGAAGAAGGAGAGGAATCAGCCGAGGACGGAGACAAGTTGCATTCATCTTCTGCATGTCAGGCTGCTGCGTGTATGTGTGGGTGTGTTAGCCCCCTTGGATGAGCACACACAGCTGAGGATGCAGCTGAGAGCATGAGTTCAGACCGAGAGGAGTATGACATGGTCTGTCAGAAAGCTGTGACCCTAATTGTTGACCTTTGCTTGCACAACAGCACATTGCTGGATCAGGATACCTGTCAGGATTTCCTCTTCCTGTTGTCTAACCAGAGCTCTGACCACAAAGAACTGGGTAAGCACTATAATTACCTCCTCATTTATCGTGGGTGTATCTTTCCTGCTGTGCTGTGTAAGTTACTCATGCCCATCCTTCTTCTCAGATCTTGTTCAGCAATGCTTAACTTTCATGTGTGTCTAAAATCTGCTTTTTGCCATTTAACAAGTGGTTTTACTTATCTTTCCTTTTGTTTAGCGCATGAAGAGCTTTGGCAGAGCTTTGACTGAGCACTTTAAGCCATCAATACACCCCTAATGAGTTTTTGTGAGCCTAGGGCATCAGGGAGCAATAGGTGTGTAAAACAAACTCACAGTGACTCCCGTGTTTGCTCAACAGAGCAGAACTTCACTACTCTTAATAGATAAGCCTTAAGGCTGACTAATGGCAGCTGATGCTGTGATGACCACTCAGGCTTACAAAAAAAAAGATGCGAAACAAGCAAACCTTTTCAGACGTGTGCCTGAATATGAAGACGTGAACAACAGTTAGCACAAAACTAGCAATGTTGTGTGTTTATTTTCTGCAGAGAATTAGATTTTTGACTTATATATGAGGGATGGTTTACACTTCAGCTGCAGCCTTGTGCATCTGCTGCTTTGTCACTTGTACTGGGCTTCACCCTATTTAAAGGAATAATCCCTCTCTTCAAATGGATTGTTAACGAAGCAGCTCTGCGACGGGCTCTGGCAGAGTGCGGGGCTTTGTTGTGTGAATCCTGGTTGTAAGAGTGGACTCTTTAATCCTGCAACTAGTCGCTCAATTGTCTAAAAGCAGAGGAAGCCTTTGATTATAGTGTTACAGTGTGAATAACACTATACAAGATGTGACTATAGGGTGTGTGAAGAAGTGTAGAATTAGCCTATAGATGTAGAAAGGCGGGCCTCTATGAGCACAGAGAGTAGCTGAGCTTAACACATTAAAAGATTCTGTGTACAATTAAAGAATGACACTTTTTTTTCTATTTATCACTTACAACTAATTGTGTGAAAGAAGAAAAAAGGTGAAATTTAATTTTAGCAGAACAGATCCAAAGCGGGGTTGGGAATACTAATGTGGCAAGTGTATGAGAAAATGCTATTTCATAGCAATTATGTGAGCTGATGCATATCACAGTAAAACTGCAATCCGTAATTGGTTGCAAATCCATCCTACATTTGTCCTCACTTTCTTCCAACCACAGAGATTTTTGTAAGCACTGATTTGATATGTTGGTTAGAAGAATAGGTCTTTATCTTTGTCAGCAGGTGCACAGGAAATATCATGTGTTGGTCCGTGTTCACAGAGTGCGTGCCACACCGATCCTGACCAAATCCACTGTCACCTCACATCACACTCAGTGGAGGAATTGAATGTACATCACAGTGCTGGTGGCATCCGCTGCTGAGCTGTGGGGACATTTAATGCCAATGCACGTTACGGTGCTATTGATGTGAATTATTGCTGCCACATGGAAGCTAAAGACAATTTGCTTCTCTGAATGTTAGAGGGTGTATAGGTGGGGGCTTGAATGAAATGTCTCACTGTGTATAGTTTTGGTGTAGTGTGTAGATCCTACAGAGAGCAATATGTGGCTTTGTTCACAAACGGTATTTGTAACAGAAGGTGGAGATGAAATTAAAAAGAGGTTTTCTGCAGATTAAAAAGTGCCAGCTGAGATTTCATCTTATTGTGGCTTTCCTCCTTATAACATGAAGGTTCTAGTATCCTTTCTGTAACTACTGTAATCCAAATATTGTTTGTGATGATCACACAGTTTTATATTACCGTTTGTTTACTTTGTGTACAACTGTGTTATTTTGGCTTCCTGTGTGTTCCAGGATTACTTTCAAGATTTTAAAGCTTTGCACTGTTTGGCACCTGCATATATTTCAAAGATCTTACAATCTTACATCTTCCAACTAGTTGCTCTTAGAGGCGCTTAGATCCAGACTTAATAATTACGGTGACCGGGCCTTTGCTGTGGTTGCCCCTAAACTGTGGAATAGTCTCCCGCTGAGATTCAGTCTGCCTCTGAGTTTCCTGCCTTTCACTTTCTCCTTAAAACTCATTTATTTAAGCAGGCATTTGTCACTGATTAGGGCATCTATGTGTCTGTCTTTTTGTTTCTGGTTCTTTCTCTGTCCTGCTTCTATTGCGTCTAATTGTTGCTTAATTAATTAATTATTTTAAATTTGTCTTCAAGTTATGTATTTGTTTTTTGTTGTATTGTTTCTGTTATTGTGAAGCATCTTGTAACTTCAGCTTTAGAAATGTGCTATATAAATAAATAGGTTTACTTTTTTAAACCTATTTTGTGCAGAGATGATACCTGTGTGGCACGCACAAAAAACTGTTTGTGAAATCGCTTCAGTTCCAGCAGCCACACAGGAAGTTAAGCAGCTTGACTCACAGGGCAACGTGCGCGGTGCTGAGCAAGGCTGCTTTTTGTTGTGAGGTTTGACAACTTGGCCGTGAATGAGCAGGAGCTGCCGACTCAGCAGGTGATCAAATGAAAAGCAATGTCTAGTGGGAATCATTACAATGAACAGTGAACTAATCTGACCGTGTGTTCAGACAGAAAATGAAGTGGATTTTAGAGTCAGCACGAATGCACGGAAAAGCAAGATTAGATGCAAATTTGCCCGAGGTGGTACAAACTGACGGGAAGACACCTCCACACAAGTTCACGGTGTTGTTTGAGTGAAACATCTGTGCACGTCCTAGGGCTCTGCTTCATAAATGTTCAGAGAGAAAACAGAAAAGTGCAGTGAGTTTCTGTTGAGTAAGAGGCTGACAACACAAAAACAAACACTTTGCACACAGCGGGTGTGTCTGTGTCAGCTTACAGCTAATGTACAGTCGGTACAAATATCAACAAAGACCTTGCTCTTAGAGCTTCAGCTGTTCTTATTTACATGTTGTTTTCTTTAAGTTCACTGTTTTTAGTTTGCTTTTAGTTTGTTTACTGTTTTGTAAAGCACTTTGTTACCATCAGGTTTTAAAAAGTGCTATATAACTAAACCTGATTTGATTTAAATCTTTGTTATTCCTGTAGAGCGAGTCTTTAACGATGATGAAGATGCCAACACATAAACAGTAAGCAGGTGGGTGGAGCTGCAGGGCCACGCTGACCCTAGTTAGTGAAGGGAGACAGCGAGGCAGGTGGGGCCCCACAGACCCACAGTGGGCTGAGTGGCACTAGGCTTTCTGATTACCTCACATTATGAGGTTTTCACCACTGTGGCTAACCTGTGGATTAACCAGTATCTACCAATATCTCAAATATGGGACAAAAGGTCTAATATATCAGTCTGCTATTGGAAGGGACAGGTGGTAACTCTGGTTGGTACATGCTGTTGGGGAAGTAACTTGCTCATTACACTTTATAAACCTAACTCCACCACTTTACTAACTACTGAGCAACAAAAGTACAGTACAGAAATACATGACATTTACTTTCTCTACTTGGCTGTCACTCCTTGGGTGCCTTTAAAGGGTAACTCTGCTGTTTTTGGACCTGCTGTATTGCCCCTAACAGTAGGTATGACGACTCTATAGCTAGTGCTAGTTTTTACTGTAGAGACTGGGAGAAATGAAAAGTCTTGTTAAACAGTGTCACCGGGGCAATCGGTCATCCTCCGAGAGCGCTCGGGATAAACATGATTTCAGTCAAAGCAGTTTTCACACTTATCAGTCATAAGGAAAGCAAATACTGTACAAGGTTTGGAATATGTGTGCTGCTGTCTGGGGTGTTCATTACTGCTAGCTACATAGGAATAGACATCTGGGTCAACCTGCCAGCTGCCCCGATGGCAGGATGATCAGGTGATTATCCATAGCTTGTATTAATGTAAGTATGATGTGTTCCAGTCAGTAGAGTGCTACTGAAGTTGACAGCATGTCTCCTGGCAATGCCGGCCTGCAGATGTCAGTCAAACTGCCCAGCCAGAGGCTTACAGGCCTAAGGCAAAATGGAAAGATGTGCACGACAGCTGAAATACCATTATCCTTTTTATATCTCTACACAAAAAGAGAGGAGAATTCAAAATTCAGTTTAACTTCTCAACCCCAAGATGCTTTAAGCACAGTCTGTTAGTTTCAAACATCACTATGCAGTTTCATATTTTCCATTTGTATCGTTAAGATGTCATTCAGCGTTTCTGTTAAATGTTGGTAAATGGAGTATTTTCCACCTTTCCCAAAATATAAAATAGGCTCATTCTAAAATTTCTATAAAATGGTGATTTTTTTTTTACATAATCTCAAATTTTAGGGAGATTTGACAATGTAAAAATCACAGCACAAAACACAGAGATGTTTGACTATATCTGCAGCCACCGAGCTCACACAAGCATTTTACCAGAGCAAACTCCCCTGCTGTTGGATGAATATCCATCCCCTTGTTTCAAATCAAGTATGATAAAATCAGAGCGACTCATCAGAAAGCCTGGCCCCCGTCCTGAAGTGAGATAATAAGCCACTGTTTTTACTGACCAATTTGTTGAATGTTGAGCTGACTTGACTGCATTACAATCAAGGCTGGATCTGGCACAACACCAGAAACACCCGCTGTGTGTCTGAAAGGCACAGGGCTTTTTGGGTAAGACAAACGAGAGCTCAGATCAACTGCTCACTCTGTTGAGCGAATAGTTTCCACCGGCAGTTCCTCCAGAGCACTGATACAGGTTACACAGTATATCCCTAAATGGCAGGATGCACTTATCACCCACAGCATCCTCCAAATGCAAACGCACACAACATTCACCCTCATTACAAAGTCCACTTTCATTATCAGCTGCGGCTTTAGGTGTGTGGGCTTGAATTGATGAGGCTTTTTTTTTCTTTTTGATCACATTATTTCTTGCACGCCCATCTCATCTCGAGTTTATTAAGCAGGACCTCGGTTGGCAGAGGACATTAGCATCAGTGGATCATCCATTTAGTTTCCACTGGTCTGTTCCTGATTGTGCGTGGTGTTTGCAGGGACAGATGGTGCATTGCAGGTTAAATCCCAAACAGAAAAACAAGAACATCAA